GGGGTGGATCAAAACCACCAAGCTTTCACTATCAGGTAAAGATGATATATATAAGAAACAGAGAGTTATTGATCTCTCTTTGATCAATCGATTTAAACCTGTGTTAACCTTTCTCAATTGACTGTTTCTTATCTGAAAGCTTGTAGCGGAAACAGNTAGCTCCTTCACCGAAGCTGAACTTCCATCTTCACTGAAGAACCACCGAGAACCACCGCAAAAACAGAGCTTCGCGATTCAGAGCAATTACCGGAGACAACAACCAGCAGATCCAAATCGATGAAGCTCCTGATTCGATCACTCTGTGACTCGAATCTGCTTTCTCAAGCTATAACCTCACGATTTTCTCTCTTCTGGGTAAGTCTCCTCACACTCTCTCTCTTCTTCTGTAACTTCCCTGTTGTTATGAAGAAGATGATNATGACTTTTATTTCTGCAGGTTTGACCAAAAGAGAAATGGGCTTTGGGCTAAAACTTTGTTTTCGGCCCAACTCAATTTCGCAGGCCCATTCTTTTGGCCCAAGAGACAAAACAACATCCACAAATCTCCACCTTGATGTTTTGTCGAATCCCTAATCACACATCTCTTCATCTCCTCTGCGAAACCTAGCCGNCCACGACCAAAAAACTGTTCGTGACTTCATCGTCACAACCACCACCAAATCTGACCGGAAATCTCTTCCGTTGCTTCTCTGATCTTTTCTACCTTATCTCTTCATACCCGAAGACCCAAAATCACCGATAAAATCAGACGACAACCCCAAAAGCTTTTCAACTTCTGACCCAGAAATCAAGCTTTCTCTTTTCCGATCTAATCAGCCAAAGCTGACCCTTTTCTTCTTGGTTCCGCTTTACAACNACCTTTGAAGACGATTTCAACAGGTAAATCTCTTNGACTTCCCCTTTCGAATCGATTCGCCTTTTAAACTTCTTGCATGTCAGTAAAACTGACTCGTTTACTTGTTTCATCTCGATCACACCCTCAACATCGCTTGGACCAGCAACCGACGATTCGCGAGACGAGAAGTAAAACTTTCCAATCCGAAACCGGTAAGATCTCGTAACCTCCTGACACATATAGCTTCTTTAACCAGAACCCACTGAATCCAATTTCTGCTTCTTTGTTGA